CTGAGTGGGTGGAGAAAAAGAGAGGGGCAAATACGTCTGGGGGAACCCATTGCCTGTGTTTGTGACCTATGGGGGGTGGGTTAAATTTAATTTATAATATAGATGCTTAAATACTGAATTTGCCACAACCGAAAACATGTATAATCTACGTCACATTGCCACATTAAATTGAAATTGTCTAAAATTTTCTACCCCTAAAGCAATCAAAGTCTAGATACCAATGGCTAGTTGTAGATGCGCAAATAGCATAAACAACTAATTATATAGAGATAACAGATGCACACCACTCTTTACATCCTCTTGCTCCTCAGTCTTCAGAATTGCTTTAACAATCTTACCGAAACTCCCTAATCCATTTTGTTCCTTCCCATTAGAAGAATTTATCGGCCTCCCATAATCATCGAAGATCGCCCCAGTCGATGACCCAGACTAAAAAACTCGAGCACCATAAGTCTCCATCTTACCTCCACTGTACTTATAAACACCATCACCACCGTCACCAACAACATCATCACCAAACCATTTATCATCATACATGCCCTGATATCCAAATCCACCATAATTCGTAGTATTACTTATGGATAAATTATCGCCACTAGGCACATTCGAAGCATTGTACAAGGTAGGGATTATTGGGCTGTAATTGGAGGAAATTGGTGGAGCGGAGGCTTATATAGTAGCTAAGGGATTATTGGGTTGTGGATCAGTTGAGGTTGTAGAGGAAGGTTAGGGTTTTGGAAATGGGATTGGTAGGTTTGGTAATACAAAGAGCTCATATCGCTTTGCTGCATCTTCGAAATTCTTCGATTAGTTTACGGAGAGAGAGGTGTGGGTTCAGCATTTTGAGGGCAAAAGAGACGATGAGAGAGAGAGAGAAGCTTCGTCCATTTTTATAGCTTCGGCCAAAGACGAACGAAGCCAGATCTGGGTGTACCTCAGTGGACCAGATTTGTTCGTGTTCGCTACCGAGAGAGAGAGAGAGAAAGAGAAACTTAGGGGAACACAGGGCCAGCCCTAGACCTAGGACACTTAGTCGGGCGGCTAGGCCCACAATTTTTGCAAAATTTTGGAGCTTCTTGTTAAGAGTTTTAGTTATGAGTATATATATTTTTGATAGGTTGGTTTGAGAGGGCCCAAATTTTATTGATTGGTCAATTAACACTTCAACAACTTACTAGAAAATTGTTCCACTTACCAGCTGCAGTAGATTGTTAGACTAAGGAAGGATAATCTCTCTTTCTCTCTCTTGTCTGTGAAAGAATTAAGCAAATCATAGATTTAACGCCAGATTTTATTTATTTTTTGGTCAAGATTTAACGCCAATTTTTTTTTTTTTATTTTTGGTCAAAATTTAACGCCAGATTTTTTTTTTAACAATATCAGTAATAATTGCTTCGACGAAAAGAAGTTTTTCAAAATTTAAATTAATAAAATCTTATTTCTGATCAACTATGTCACAAGAAAGATTAAATGAATTAGTTATATTATCTATTGAAAAAAATATATTAACAAAACTTGAATATAAAAATTTAATCAATATTTTTGCATCTCAAAAAATTAGAAAAATATCTTTTAAATGAAAATATTTTAATAATTATTGTCTATTAAGAGGGTCAATTNAATATAAAAATTTAATCAATATTTTTGCATCTCAAAAAACTAGAAAAATATCTTTTAAATGAAAATATTTTAATAATTATTGTCTATTAAGGGGGTCCACTTTCATATTCTCTCCTAAGGTCTCCAGATTTGTTGGGCCGCCCTTGGGGGAACAGAGAGAGAATCTTAGGGGGAGAGAGAGAGAGACAAAGAAAACAAGCTTACCTCGCATGAGTCGACAATCGCCTGTGATGAACGTCTTCACCTACCAATGCTTGGAGCTAAGCTGCTTGGATGAAAGTGAAGGGTCCTTCGGTAAGGCGTAGGAAAATATCTAAGAAGGAGGGGTAAGTTTGTCTTTTTACCTAGTTAACCTGGTGAATAGGATTAAAACTCATGAAGGGAGTGGGTTACATTTAACTCATGTACATTAGATAAAAAACACTGTAGCATCCGGGTCAAGATTTAACCTGGGATTTATATCTTCCCTTATTTTTCAACTGCCAAACGCTGGATATATAAGACTCGCTTCATTGTTAAGTTATTCTCATGAAACTTAACCCACCTTAACTCACTGTGCAAGACACCCATAAGAACATAGACGAACCCACCCATGGGCACTCTAGGCAACTCGTCAACCCCACACCGTCACTCAACTCAGAACTAAACCCACCTAATTTCTCTTCCTACCCATTTGAAAAAGAGTAATATTATTGGAACCTAATTTACTGACCTAATTTGCTGACATAATTCATTGTGACCTAATTTCCTGACCTTTGGAAAAAGTTTGATTTTTTTATCGGTCTCTCTCAACACAACCCATAGGACCCTAAATTTAGGGTTCTTAAGACGCCGNTATGTTATTGAATTCACATGAGGAACAACAAGAATGTGGGTTGGCTGTTGGGGTTGATTCTGGGGAGTAGTTTTTTTATGGATTCTTTGGTGTATTTGAATAGGTCCAATGAGTTGGATGAGATGAGAGATAGTCCCGTAGAATCCTAGAATGAGGATGAAGATGATGAAGAGGTTAAGGGGTTGGGAGGCGAGGATGAGCTGTAGTCGTATAGGATGTTGGTGGATTCGATTGAGAAGTCTGGAGAGATGTACGGGAATATATAAAGTAGTAAGAGGAAGCAAATAATGGAGTTTGAGAAGATGAGGGTGGATTTTTAGAAAGAGTTGGGAGTTACAGAACAGATCAGATTCTCAAGAGGGCACAAACTGAGATGGCAAAAATAAGGGAATGGGATGGAGATGAGACGGATGTTTCTTCAGACGATATCTGTGGGTAGTGTAGGTACTTTGCTTATGTTTATTTTTCTCTGTTTTGGTGTTGCATATTAATGGAGTTGGTATTTATATTATTCTTATTTGTTAACCTTCTTGTGAAAAATCATGGGAGTTTTAGTGCTTTTGCTTGGTTCTGTACCGTGTACCAAGTTATGTTTTTTTTTTATGATCTTCATGTCTGTGTAAAGACAGTTTCAAGGAAACTGCAAAGTTAGAGTTTTGGAACCTTTGGTAAAGTCACATTTCCAAAAAACAAATTATGAAACTTAGAGGCAACACCCTTGTCATGAGTTTTCCTTTTATTTCTATACTTTTCGTAGTATTTGTTGAACCATTATAAATTACTTTTGTTTAAAATTTTCTTCATTGATTTCCAACAGTTATGTATTGGTTTACTATGCTTGTTTTCAAGTGCTTCACTGTGCCTTTATGGGAGTTTCTTGATAAATTTCCTATTACACTGTTGATTTGATTCTGTGTAGCCTCCCACTTCTCGTATCCCATGGCATATTTACACGTTTCACACTTCCATTTGCTTTGTTATTTTCCGGAACTGATTCCTCTCTGGCAACTATGGATTTGTGTGGGGAAAATTGAAATTGTTGGGCGGTTAAATTAAGACTTTATTCCATAGCTAGATATGAATTTATCAAGCTCCAGTTGCGAAATTGTTTGCTCCTGGAACTAGACGTTATTTGTGTCCAAAATAGGCAGATTTTACTAACTAAGAGTGGTAGGTTGTTATTGGTATTGAAATGAAGTGCAATTCACTATGATGTGCTAATGTGTAAGAATCCTGGATTAACTTTTGCATAGTATTTAAAATTCTTTTTGTTTTTTTTTATCAGAAACAAACTTTCATTTCATAGTGTTTAAAATCCTTATTAGAAGTTTGGAACAAGGTTAATGAATTTTCTTTCGTATTTCTCACATGAATTGATGTTTCTGGTATTCAATGGATTTTACTTCTAGTTCTAGCAGATAATGAGATGATGGGGAGGGCAATTACTGAATTGGATGTAACTCTTTTGGAAGGATCGCATGTCTCTGAATTTGATGGGAGCAGCGGACAGAAAAACAAGTTTTTTTGAAATTACAGGTATTATGTATTGTACTAGGCTTGGAAGCTATGCACTGATTGGTTCATGACTTAGTCATCTCCATTGCCCTTGATTTTGGGCTCATCTCAATGAACTTTGTTAATCTTTAAATTCGATTTTGTCGTATGACAATTTACAGTTTTCAGATCGTGTAAATTTAGGACCTGAGAAATCATAACACTGGTTTTATTGATGCTAACAGAGGCAAGAGAAATTGCAACATGACAGATAAAAAAAAATGGATTCAATCCTTGGAATTTTTTTTTCTTTTGATTTTAAAATGAATGAAGGCCACCATTGACATTGTTGATGCTGATGTGTTACATGCAAGCCNGAGAAATTGCAACATGACAGATAAAAAAAAATGGATTCAATCCTTGGAATTTTTTTCTCTTTTGATTTTAAAATGAATGAAGGCCACCATTGACATTGTTGATGCTGATGTGTTACATGCAAGACTGTGCAGTCTAAGTAGGCACAAGGTGGGTTCTACTTGGTGTTGTATTGTATTGCCGAACTTTGAATTGGAAATTAGATGTCAAAAACATGTTCCCATAGGTGTTTTGTTAATAAGACACTTACACTCAGCAGCAACAACAGAGGAATGCCTCAATGATTTGTAGGTTCATTCCGGTACAACATTATTTCCATTTCCTCCAATGTTAAATCACCCACCATATATTGGTAGATTATCCCACTAATATAGTTTACTGTCAAGAAAATGGGTGTGATCCGGAAAAAATGCACATCCGATTACAAATAATCTTTCATTTAGAGCACACATGTAATTCCGTAAATAGATAAAATCATAAATTGTGTAGAATATAGAAATATTTGTCAGTCAAACTAAGTTAGAATCCCAGTTCTTCCATGTGTAGTAGAATACAACATTCGTGAAGGAATCCCAAACAAGTACCAAAGAATACATGGAGACAAACATGCGACCTTCCCACAAACTCATACCCTTTCACATCCTGAAACCGAACAAACACTCAGTTAATCTCCCAATTACTCAACCATGCCATTATAAGGGTTGGTTGTCTCCTTCCTGCCATGAGACGCCTGGCTTTCATCAATGACTCGAACCATAAAACCTGTGTCATGTTTCCGATACCCATAACATGTGCATATGCCACACAAGAGTACACCTGGAATCCCTAGGACAACCCAAAATCCTACCCCTCTTGAGCATATCCACATGTAGACATTACCTTTGGCAGTATTGCCAAAATAGAAACCATTGCTTTAAACAGGCTGCAGATAATGGCAAAAACCCAAACAAAGGTGTGAAGAAGTATAACTCAGCAAGACACTTTTGTTTTGGTAGTCGTCTTCCATCAAAGGTGATTCTGTTGTAGCTGTCTGAAACTGCTTGAACAGAGGCAGCTCTGTCAAGGAGAGAGAATGTGATGGATGATGGGAAGCAAATAATGATTGGAACAATAGTTTTCGAGAGTAGTTTGGATAGAAGTAGATTTCCATTTTGCCCTAGTTAAATGGAGAATACGGATAGGAGAGATGATGAGAGGAATTGGGAGAGGTGATGAGAAAAGGAAGATAGAGATGGAATGGAAATGGATTGGGTGGAGAAGTTGAACTCTGATTGATTCTTTGAAAATTTGGGCTGTGCTCATCAGATTGCTTGATGCAAGACCTGGTATTCTTCTTCTTGGCATTCTATGAAGAAGAGATTGAAAAACTTTAGATTTCTTTAATCCGTTTGCACAGGCTCCATGGTTTGGACTGTACAAGAGTATTGGTTGTTTTTGCATTCTAATAAAANAGGCAAAATGAGTAGAGAGTTGTACTTTGATTTGCACCTTTGCCCCAAAATCAGTCATTTTTCGATTTCCAAGTATGGCAAGTAAATACTAGCTTGTGATCAAACATTGGCAAAATCTTTTGTGGAAGCATTTTTCCTCTCAGACATTTACACCAATACCTTGACTGTGTTGTTCTGTCCCAGTGTAATACATACAGACCAGGTTTAAGCCATCCGAGATTCAAATCTGAGTTGGTTACAAATCCGGTTAACAGATGCAATGCACNCTTCTTCTTGGCATTCTATGAAGAAGAGATTGAAAAACTTTAGATTTCTTTAATCCGTTTGCACAGGCTCCATGGTTTGGACTGTACAAGAGTATTGGTTGGTTTTGCATTCTAATAAAACAATGTGGTCATAACTCACTTCATATCAGAATTCCATGAAAGGAGTTTTTGGCCGGTGGTAATTGGGTGATAGGAGATTGTATATCAAAGTAAAAATTTTAGGAANAACAATGTGGTCATAACTCACTTCATATCAGAATTCCATGAAAGGAGTTTTTGGCCAGTGGTAATTGGGTGATAGGAGATTGTATATCAAAGTAAAAATTTTAGGAAGTTGATCCATTGATTGTGTTTTTGACAATGCAGTTCCATAATCTTGATCATAGTCAAACTTTTGATCATTTATTGATTGTCAGAACTGCATTTTTTTCGTTGAAAATGTTTCAGAGTTGGAGATGTAAAGATCTAAATTTTTAGTTTCCTTAATAAATTTGTGTGTATGATCTTATAGTTTTATGTCACATAATAGTTTACCATGCCCAAGAAAGACATGATTGTGGGGTAGAAGGATTTGTGGGGAAGTTGGAAGCCAGGATTCCCTTGAATGAGCATGATTTGGCCTTCCCTAATGAGAAAGATAAAAAAAAGGTGAACTTGGAGTTTTGAGGTCGTCTTCCTTGAAAAACAATCGTATTGTTCATGTGTAAATGTTTTTTTTTCATTTTTGACTGGGTGGAAGGTATGGGAATTGGGCAAGTGAGGCTTTGGTGGTTGTTTTTTTGGGGGGAGGGGGGGGGGGG